TGTACTTATTTCCTCTTTTACCTAGCTTCTTTAGTTTTTTTAAAAGTTATACATACAGTAAAATTCTGTAACACCAAAATACTGAAATAGAAAAGAAAAAAGATTTCAAACTGATGAAGATTGGTTTCTATTTTAAGAAACTAGAAAAAGAAAACTAACTGAAGTCCAAAGAAATTGAAAGGAAGGCAATATTAAAAATGAGAATGTATCAGTGATACAGGCAACAGAGAAAAACAGAGAAAAATTAATAACAACAAAACACTGGGTATTTGAGGTTAATGAAATTGATAAACCTCTAGCCTGACTTATTAAGAAAAAGAGACAAGAAGCAAATTATCAGAATCTGGAATGAGCAAAGTTATATCACTGTAGATATCTACTAGACTTTTAAGGAAGAAGTAAAGTAAATGAACAAGGTTATATCACTGTAGCTACCTACCAGATATTTAAGGAAGAAGTAATACCACTTCTCCACAAACTCTTCTCGAAATTGCAGAGAAGGGAATTGTTTAAAACTCATTCTATGAGACCAGCATAATTCTGATATCAAAACCAGATACAGACCTGGCTAACAAAGAAATTTACAGACTCATTTTCCTCATGAGCATGGATGTAGAAAATCTATATAACATTTTACTATATCAAATCCAACAATGTGTAAAAATGCTAATACACAATGACCAAATGGTTTATCCGAGGAACATAAGATTGATTAGTCCAAAAATCAATCATTGTAATTCACCATTTTAAGAAACTTTTCAAAAGAGAAAAGAAATCATATGATCAACTCAAGAGAAAACATTTGACACAATCAAACGTATCTTTCCCATGAAAGCTTTAAAGAAATTAGGAATTGTGAGGAATTTCCTCAAATTCATAAAAGACATTTACAGGAAAACTATCACTAACATCATACTTAATGATGAAAGATAAGGAATAAACAGGAGTATCTGCTCTCACTGCTTCTGTTGAATATCATACTGAGGAATCTAGCCAGTACAAGGCAAGAAAAAGAAATAAAAGGCATATATTTTGGAAAAGAAGAAAGAAAACTTTCACTGGTAACATGATTATATATATATAGAAAATTCTATAGACTGCATTAAAAAAGACACTATAATAAGTGATGATAGACAAGTTGTAGGATACAAGATCAGTAAACAGAAATGAATTGTATTTCTGTATGCAAGCAACAAGTAGACATTCAACTTTTAAAGATACCATTACAAAAGTATCCAAAAAAATAGGAAATACTTAGGGATAAGTATGATGAAGGATTATACACTGAAAACTATTATACATGCGGAAAGAAAATAAAGAAGACATAAAGAAGAGATATATTGTGCTAATAGATAAGATTCAGTGTTGTCAAAAAGTGTCAATTTTTGTAAAATTGATTTGTACTTTTAACACAATCCTAATCAGAATCTCACTAGCTTTTTTTGTAGAGGTTGGCTTATTCTAAAATTTCTATGGGAATGGAAATAACATAGTATAGCCAAAACAACTTTAATAAAGACGTACAAAATTAGGGGACTTCAACTAGCTGACTTTAAGATATTATAGTTCAGGCAGTATCTTATTGACATAAATGTAGACAGGTCACTGGAACTTAGTGGAAAGTCAAGAGATTAACTTACACATAGATGATCTTTTGATGTCTAACAAAGCACAAAGTAAATTCCATTCAGAAAGTATAGTCTTTTTTACAATTCGTACTGTAACATTTTGATATCTGTATACCTCCAAAAATGAACTTCGAACCATACCTCACACCATATACAAAAAGTAATTCAAATGAATCATGGATTTAAATGTAAATTCTAAAGCCATAAGGCTCCTATAAGAAAACATGGAAAAATTCATTGCAACCCTGGAAGGTAGGCCAAGAATTCTCATATATGACACCCAAAGTATGGTATTCTTCATCAAATATTTGTTCTCATCAAAGTCAATAACTTCTACTCTTTGAAAGCGACTCTAAACAAATGAAAAGGTGAACCATAGATTAGGTAAAATATTTCAAGTAACATATCTGATAAAGAATTTCTACCCAGAATATTTAAAGAACTCTGTAAAGTGAATAATTTTTTTAAAAAACCCAATTTTAAAAAAATGGACAAAAATTTTATACAGATGTTTCAGCAAAGAACATATATGATATCAAATAAGCGCATGAAAAAAGATATTCTACATTTTTAGTCATTAGGTAGATAAAAATTAAGTCACAGTGAAATACCATAGCATACTTACTAGAGGGTTTAACCGAGACTGTACCAAGTCTTGGCAAAGATGTGGAGTAAGTAGAAATATCATCATTGCTCTTGGGAGTCCAAAATGGTGCAATCACTTTGGAACATTTTTTGGCAGTCAATTTAAAAAAAATTAAAACCTTCACCACCTATATGACTTGATCATTCCATTGGTAGATATTACAGTTCAAGAGAAGTGAAGGGAGATGTTCATACCAAGACTCCTACACAGTGTTCACACCAACTTTATTTATAATAGCCAACATTAGGGAGACAACCCAAGTGTCCAAAAGCAGGCAGTTGAATAAAAAATTTTGATGTAGTGTTACAGTGAAATGCTAACTCAGCAATAAAAAATAATGAACCTCTGACAGATACAACAACATAGATTAGTCTGAAAGTCAATAATCTGGATGAAAGAAACCAGGCAAATAGAGTACTTGCTGTGTGCTTCCACTTATATAAAATTCTAAGAAATGTAAACTTGTAACAGTGACAGAAAACAGAACAGTATTTGCCTAGGTACAGGGCATCTGTGAGGAAAAAGGGGGAAGTATTACAAGCAACCAGTAAAACTTTGGGGAGTGAACAGTTCATCTTTTTTTTTTCATAGCTTTGGTGTTTAATCCGTGTCCCGTCCCCCCCCCCCCGCCCCCGCCCCCGCCCCCGCTTTATTTGTTTATTTTTGGCTGTGCTGGGTTTCATTGCTGTGCTGGCTTTTCGCTAGCTGCAGCGAGCGGGGGCCACTCTGTCGTTGCAAAACACGGACTCTCGGGGTGTGGGCTTCAGTAGCTGCAGAACGTGGGCTCAATAGTTGCAATTCCCAGGCCGTAGATCAAATAGGCTCAATAGCTGTGGCACACAGGCTTAGTTGCTCCAGGACATGTGGGATCTTCCCAGATCAGGGATCAAACCTGTGTCTCCTGCATTGGCAGGCAGATTCTTTACCACCGAGCCACGAGGGAAGCCGCCAAGTTCATCTTCTTGATTGCACTGATCTCTTCAGGTGTGTACTCAGATGTCAAAACTTTGCAGATTGTACGTTTTAGATTAGCTTGTGGATTTAAGACTTCCCCTGGTGGCTCAGACGGTAAAAGTGTCTGCCTACAAGGTGGGAGACCCAAGTTCGATCCCTGGGTCGGGAAATGGCAACCCACTCCAGTGTTCTTGCCTGGAGAATCCGACGGAGGAGCCTGGTAGACTACAGTCCATGGTGTCACAAAGAGTCGGATTTAAATTATGCAGTTTGTTATTTATTAATTATATACCCCAATAAAATTATTTTATAAAGGGCAGTGCAAGTGCTCATCATTACTTATTCTTTAACCATTAAGTGATGTTTAATGGTAATTTCAACTGACCTTAAAGCAGTTCTATCCTAGGGCTCTCACTCCTTCATGTTTAGCCTCTGCCTAAAATGTAAGACTTTTTACCTGATTTTGATTTTTGATCATTTATATTAGTGGCCTGATTTTATCTTCATGGCTCTATTGTTACCTAAGATTATCTCTTATCTCCCTTGACTAGCCTATAATCTTCTTGAGGCTAAACGAATCTCTTGTTCATCTCTGTATCTGCATGAATAGTAACACTCATTACACACTTATTGATAGTTTTCTTATATTTTTATCTGCATATAATCCTTGTCTTATTGTTTTTTGGTTCCCTGTTGCCCATTCTTTCCTTTACTTCCTGTCTTTCCTTTCTTTGGTGCTGTGTGAAATTTTCTTATTGTAAATAAACATTCTTCATTTTCAACTTCTCTCTGAATATCCTTTTTTTTTATTTTTAGAAATTTATTATTTTTTAATTCTTTGGTTGTGATGGGCCTTTGTTGCTGCACGCGGGCTTTCTCTAGTTGTGGCGAGCTGGGGTTACTCTTCACTCTGGGGTGCATGGGCTTCTCCTTCCTTGGTTTCTCTTGTTGCAGAGCTCAGGCTCTAGGTGCATGAGTCTCAGTAGTCGCAGGTTACAGGCTCAGTCGGTGCAGCCCTCCAAGTTCTAGAGCTTGCACTCAGTAGTTCCAAGGCAGGTGGAACCTTCCCGGACCAGGGACGAAACCCAGGTCCCCTGCATTGGCAGGCAGGCTCTCATCCACTGTGCCACTAGGGAAGTCCAGAATATCCTTTTTGCTGTAAAGAAAACTTGTCTCTCCACTGAGGAGCCTGTTTCCCTTATTTTCCAAGTATGAGGTGGGGGTGCATCTCACAGTCTAATCCTAGACACTTCCTGACTCCCAGGATATTTATTCACCAGGCACATACACTTTGACATTATCACACAGTTACGTTGAATTTTCAAGATACTAGCAATAAGGAAAAGATACATCTCAAAAATGCAAGATAAAACTGCCACATGGATTTTTTTTTTATCTTTTAAGATTTTGAATTATGGGATGATGTAGGATTAAACATTCCAAAACCTCCAGACTTACCACAGCCCTACCGAGATTTTGGAAATCATCAAGTAACTGGAAGGACCTTGTGGAAGTGGCCAGCGGTGTAGAAGAAGACGAATTAGAGGCTCTGACACCAGTTTTAGGCAGCCTTCCTTCAACCCTTGAAACTCCGCAGACTGTAGAGGTGAGAAGTATTAATAATCTAGTCCACAAAAAGTGTTTAAGCCATGTCAAAGCAGACTATGAGATCTTGAGTTTCTGTTTTTCTGCCATTTTGATTTTAGAACTCCTCGCTAGTGCAGAAATTAGAAGATAAAATTAGTTTATTCAATAGTGAGAAATGGTCTTTGATGGAACAAATTAGAAGACTTGAAAGGTTAGTACTTAATCATCATTTCTATAAAACCTCTTAAAATTATTAAAGAAATTGACAGATTATATAAACATATAAGAAAATATTTCAGTGGAAAGCTGTAATTTTTCATACCCTAATACTTCTGGGGGAAAAAATCTTATAATTGCTTATATACTTAATGTGTTCTTTTCCCCCCAAAAGTTGTTAATCACTGTAATAATCATTAAATCATATATGTCTTAGAACCAAGGAGTAAGATTTTTTTACTTTCTTCAGGTTGTATCAGTAGTAATAAAGTAACTTCTTCGTGCTAGTGTTATACATATTTTCCATTCATTGTTTCATTTAATTCTTATACTCATGATGTGGGTTAGATGGAATATTCCACATTTTGCACAGAAAGAAGGCTCAGTGATAATCCAAAGCATAATTTATAAAATCATTTTTATGTTTTGTAAGAGTTTGTGGCTACATTTCTATATGAAGCATCAATATATATGGTACAGAAAAGATTAATTAGTTGCCAAACCACTTTCTATTAACATGTTATACTTTTAAAGCATTAAACCCAGTATGAGGTTTATGCTATTGCCAAAGTCTTAAAAAATACAATTCTTCACTAATAATTTCTCTTACTTTTACAGTGAAATGGACTTCCTCAAAAATGAACACTTTGCCAGCCCTGTAGTTTGTGACTCTGTTCAACCTTCTTTGGATCAGTCTTCCCACAAAGACTCTGAAGACAGTGGAAAGAAATCAGTTATAAATAGTTTCAACAAGGGAGGAAACAAGGATGTCCATCTTTCAAAACAGATGAAGTTGATTCCACTGTTCCTAAAGAGAATTTTCCACATTCTTTCTTCAGGAGAGAAAGAGAAGGAATACCATCTTCTTCTCCATCAAGTAAAAACAGTCCATTTTGATAAACCCAATAGGTTAGTATGTGTTCTGTGTTTTGAAATGCATCTTTCAGCTATTTAGTACATTGTCAAACTAGAAGAGTTTCAGTTCTTATTTTGCAGATCAGATGCATGAATTTTTATGTGTCTGACATGAACTTAACACATAGCAGAGTCCACATCATTGCAAAAAAATCACAAGTAATTACTAAGTTAAATTGTGTTAAAGAGGAATAGACCATAAATGAACTAGGTCCTATTTTAGCTAAGTACTGAAACCCATAATATAATATAAAAACATAATATGTATGTTCTGTGTGCTGTATTTTACCCAGTGTTTTTTTACCTTTTCTGTGTTCTACACTCATTATCAGATTCAGTAGAAAGCTTTGATATTCAATAGTTGCCTTTATAAAAAGGCGATTAGTTCTTGATCTTAGTCCTTTTTCCTGTGTCTGCCTCCATTAGTAATGTTGTGTCATGAATATTATCTTAAGTCATTTAATTTTTATTGAATAGCAATGATTGAACTTAGATGACTAAAGCAGGGTCCCTTGCCCATCATGATTATGTTTCCTAGTAGAGGAGACAAAAAGTATTTACATTATAATGTGAAAAAAGAATATTCTCTAAGAGAGGAATATTTATTGAGTTCTTTTTATATATCAGGCACAGTTCTAAATGCTTTACATATGCTAGCTTAGTTAATCCTCACACATACCTTGTGATGCATTCTGAGCCAGTCATAATTCCTCCTCCTATTAAATGGAGGAGTATTAGAGCGAGTGTTGAGATGTAATAGGAAAGCAGGACTAATTGGTTTTAGACTTAAAGGTACTCATTACTAGTGAGAAGTATTTGATTTTTTCTTCCTAAGCAAATTTTTTTACTCATATGCCACAACTTTGTGTGTGGTTGTGTGTGATTGAAATAGACATGGCCCAGTCCTCAAAGTGTATTTAATCTAATATGGTTAAGATATAGTCATAAAAATAATGCAGTGGCTTTTGTAGTAGTTCTTAATGTTTAGTAGTTCCATATATCTCCTTTATAGTCCAAAGCCACTCTTAGGAGAAAGATGATTGTTAAATTTATCCAACTAACGTTTTTTAGCTCTTAACTGCTTGTCGGGCAATGTCAGTGAAGAATATGAAGTTTAAAAGAAGAGTGAAAATGTTAGTTGCTCAGTCATGTCTGACTCTTTGGGACCCCATGCACTATAGCCTGACAATCTTCTTGAGGTCCATGGAATTCTCCAGGCAAGAATACTGGAGTGGGAAGCCATTCCCTTCTTCGGGGGATCTTCCCAACCCAGGGATCCAAGCCAGGTCTCCTGCATTGCAGGCAGATTCTTTACCATGTGAGCCACTAGGGGAGCCCAAATGAAGAGTATAGTGACGGTAACCAAACATGTTACACTTCGGTTACAAACTTTACAGTATGAGAGAGACTGTCAGGCTATTATAATATTGTAAAAGGTAGTAATATAAGAGAAGTTCAGCTTGCTTGGGGAACACACAATCAGCGTACCTAACCTAGTCGTCAGAGTAGGAAAGCTTTCAGGGAAGAAGTATTTTCTAACTTTATACCTGATGAGTAAGTAGCAGTGAACCAGGCAAAGAGATAAGAGGAAGTTTTCCTCCTAAGAGGGACTAACAGGAGCAGGAAGAACCCTGCACTTGGGGAGCTAAGAAGGATTTATGAGGACTGAAGCAAAGCATGCAACTGAGAAGACAACAGGAGGGGAAGTTAGAGAATTAAGCTGAGACTAAGTCATATAAGCTGGGTTAACTCATTTTAGAGATTTGGTATCTAAGTTTTTTTTTTTGATATCTAAGTTTTAAAAGAAAGTAAGGAAAACCACTAGACCATTCGGGTATGATCTAAATCAAATCCCGTACTATTGTACAGTGGAAGTGACAAATAGATTTAAGGGTCTAGATCTGATAGACAGAGTACCTGATGAACTATGGACGGAGGTTCGTGACATTATACAGGAGACAGGGAGCAAGATCATCCCCAAGAAAAAGATATGCAAAAAGCCAAAATGGTTATCTGAGGAGGCTTTACAAACAGCTTTGAAAAGAAGAGATGTGAAAGGCAAAGGAGAAAAGGAAAAATATACCCATTTGAATGCAGAGTTCCAAAGAATAGCAAAGAGAGTTAAGAAAGCCTTCCTCAGTGATCACTGCAAAGAAATAGCAGAAAACAATAGAATGGGAAAGATGAGATCTCTTCAAGAAAAGCAGAGATACCATGCAAAGATGGTCACAATAAAGGACAGAAATGGTATGGACCTAACAGAAGCAGAAGATATTAAGAAGAGGTGGCAAATATACACAGAAGAGCTGTACAAAAAACATCTTCACCACCAAGATAATCACGATGGTGTGATCACTCACCTACAGCCAGACACCCTGGAATGTGAAGTCAAGTGGGCCTTAGGAAGCATCACTGTGAACAAAGCTAGTGGAGGTGTTGGAATTCCAGCTGAGCTATTTCAAATCCTAAAAGATATGCTGTGAAAGTGCTGCACTCAATATGCCAGCAAATTTGGAAAACTCAGCAGGGCCACAGGACTGGAAAACGTCAGTTTTCATTCCAATCCCAAAGAAAGGCAATGCAAAGAATGCTCAAACTACCACAAAGTTGCACTCATCTCACACACTAGTAAAGTAATGCTCAAAATTCTCCAAGTCAGGCTTCAATAATACGTGAACCGTAAACTTCCAGATGTTCAAGCTGGATTTAGAAAAGGCAGAGGAACCAGAGATCAAATTGCCAACATCCGCTGGATCAAGGAAAATGCAAGAGAGTTCTGAAAAAACATCTATTTCTGCTTTATTGACTATGCCAAAGCCTTTGACTGTGTGGATCACAATAAACTCTGGAAAATTCTGAAAGAAATGGGAATACCAAACCACCTGACCTGCCTCTTGAGAAATCTGAATGCAGATCAGGAAGCAGCAGTTAGAACTGGACATGGACCAACAGACTGGTTCCAAATAGGAAAAGGAGTATGTCAAGGCTGTATATTGTCACCCTGCTTATTTAACTTCTATGCAGAGTACATCATGAGAAACGCTGGGCTGGATGAAGCACAAGCTAGAATCGAGATTTTCGGGAGAAATATCGATAACCTCCGATATGCAGATGACACCACCCTTGTGGCAGAAAGTGAAGAAGAACTAAAGGGCCTCTTGATGAAAGTGGAAGAGGAGAGTGAAAAAGTTGGCTTAAAGCTCAACATTCGGAAAACTAAGATCATGGCATCTGGTCCCATCACTTCATGGCAAATAGATGGGGAAACAGTGGTATCAGTGGCAAACTTTATTTTTGGGGGCTCCAAAATCACTGCAGATGGTGACTGGAGCCATGAAATTAGAAGACGCTTACTCCTTGGAAGGAAAGTTATGACCAACCTAGACAGCATATTAAAAAGCAGAGACATTACTTTGCTAACAAAAGTCCATCTAGTCAAGGCTATGGTTTTTCCAGTAGTCGCGTATGGATGTAAGAGTTAGACTATAAAGAAAGCTGAGTGCCGAGGAATTGATGCTGTTGATCTGTGGAGCTGGAGAAGACTCTTGAGAGTCCCTTGGACTGCAAGGAACAATCCTGAGTGTTCTTTGGAAGGACTGATATTGAAGCTGAAACTCTAGTACTTTGGCCACCTGATGCGAAGAACTGACTCATTGGAGAAGACCCTGATTTTGGGAAAGATTGAAGGCGGGAGGAGAAGGGGAAGACAGAGGATGAGATGGTTGGATGGCATTACTGACTCAATGGACATGAGTTTGAGTAAACTCTGGGAGTTGGTGATGGACAGGGAGGCCTGTTGTGCCGCAGTCCATGGGGTCGCAAAGAGTTGGACACGACTGAGTGACTGAACTGAACTGAAGTTTTAGAAAGAGTCCTCTAGAGTAGTGGTAATTAGAAGGTAGCAAAAATAGAGACTCATGGGATATCTTTTGGAAGAGTCCAAGAAAGAAATGGGGGACTTTCCTGTATTGGAAAGACGTAGATACATTTATAAGATAGTTAGAAGGTAAAAATTGATTGGATTAGGAGGTTAAAACTAAGGGAAGGATAAAGACTTTCTGGCTTGGGCAGTTAGATGCGTTGTAGCTCCCTCCGCTGAAAGAATAGGGGAGGGGGTACGTAATGAGCAAACAGGCTTCAGCTTTGGCACACTAACTCCAAAATCAGATGCTACTGGGGGCCGCTTTGTGGTGTATACTAAGTAACCTCTGTTATGTAACCTTAGATGTTACCCCTTTTCTTCATAGAATAAGCACATAAAGTACAACTCATAGTTACAATATTATGAATACTATTATATAGAGACCAGTGTTATTTTACAAATATAAATGTTTTAACTTTCTTTATTAAACATAAATAGCTAATATTTTCAATTACAAAAAATCCTTTAAAATATATGTGAATGTTGAATGAGCCTCTCCTTCATTTATTTTTCATTTTTAATTCTTTTGTGTGGGTTTCTAACATTAAGGTTTTCTAACATTATCATGATATAGATCTGCAGAACTTCTCAGCAACATACCAGGTTAGCCTTCGCAGCCACTCTTTACTTTTCTGGGACCATAGAGAATTCGGGAAGAAAAAAAAAACCCCTCATTTCAGGTTTTGCAAACAGTTTCTATAGTCATTGACCTGCCATAGAACTTCAGGTTTAATCCATTAACATTTTTAAGACATTCATTCACATAATATCAAGCTCTTTTAAGATCAGCAGCTATTGCTATTCCTTTTTCCCTGTATGATTCTCCAGTGAAGTGACCTTAAATCTTTTGTGGCTGAGAAATTCAAACATTTGTGGGGTAGGATTCATGTGATGGTGGGAATTATAACCTGCAACTTTCTTCCTCCTTAAATGCCAGTTTAACTGTTTGGTATTGTCCCATTTTCATTCAGTGTTTTCTTCTTGGAAGTTGTCTCCTGCTTTCCATCAAGCACTACTCTCTTTCTGTTGAATGTCAGCAGATAGTCATTTAGGATCAGAGATAAGTTATACTAGATTCTTGCAATTTTCTTAAAACGTTCCATTTTTCTTGTTAGCCTTTTACCCCCAAAATAATTGTAACACACCTCTGTTTCAAGTACAAATCTATTATTTAAACTAACAAACACTCTAAGAAATAATTCCAAAGTTTTCAGCTTTTAAGGAAAGTAGTTGATTATTTTTATCTTTGGATTAAAGCTCTTTTTAGTATGAAAGTGACTCTATACAGTCTAGTTTTAATTTTTTATGTCTACCAACCTACAATTATATGCCTCTCTATGGTGTAATTTAGAAAACCAAGTCAGGTATATATATTATTATAACCAGTTATTTTTAGATTACTCCATTTTTAATTTCTCTAGGGTTGATTGTCTTTGATTGCAGAGTTTATTGGCTCTCGGATTTCTTTTCATCAAGTCCTTTGTAACGGTTGTTGCAGGCTTATCTTAAAAGGGTGTTTTTTTCTCCTTTCTTTATACTTCTCCCTTTCTATTAATACCTTTCTTGTGGTTGATTCCACTTCACCTCTTCTGGGCTTCTGTCCCACAGTGTCGTTAAGAATCTGAGAGAGCTAGAGGATGGTTTGGATGCAGTCTGGCAGTTCTCATTGCAAGACTGGGGCAGCCCCCATGGACTTCCCCTTGCATGCGTTTTCATTATGCAAACTACTCTTTCACCTTAGCCAAAGATCGTGACTTTGTGGGTACCTTTCCCCCCAAAACAAAGATTAAAAACCACTGAAGCTGCCCCAGTCCTGTGTTATCGCTATTTGTTCCCAGAACTGAAGCCTAGTAAGCCTCCCTGTCTGCTCCCTTGCTTCTTACTAGTGTTTTAAATACATTTCTGGTCTACAAAAATGTTTGTCCTGTTTGGAATCTCAGGTTGTTGTTGTTTTTGTTTTCCTCCTCATCATAAATTGTCCTTTTGAATGTGTGTTTGAAACAGAAGTGACAGGGTCCAAATCATAGCCTTGAAGTCCCGCCACGCACAGGAGGCCTCCAGTGTCTGTCACCTTTGATTAACCCTGTGGCCTTCTAGGTGTCTTGGATTGCAGACAGTGAGACGAGCATCATGCTAATGCTGGGGCGCTGCCTGCTGCACATCGTCCCTAACATGCTGTTGGCCAAGAGAGAGGTGAGGCCCAGAGAAGCACTGTCATCCCCATCATTACATTGTCCATTTTTTGTCATTTTGAGGTTTAGTGTTATATTTTTATTTTGTTAAAGTTTGTTACTTGTAATCAATTCTTACTTTTGTGCATGCATCTCTGCTCCTAGAGAATGGTCTTACACCTCTGTCAGGTGAGTTCAGTAAAACTGCATGGTATTCATGTTTTCCAGTTTTGCTTAAAGCATCATTAGCTTCTGCAACACTAACTATTACTGCAGGTCCATTTATGTGCCATGAACACTGTCCGTTCTCTACATTATCAGTTAACTAATTTATTTGATCTCTCTCTTGATATGATATGTGTGACTTGCCTACAGAAATAGACAGTCTTGGGATTGAACATTAATAGGAACTAATAATGTAACTCTTTTCTTAAATGTACTTGTAGTTACCTCTTATTAATGTTAGTTTTATTGTATTTGTTTGGCAGTAGCTAGACTTGTCTTAGAATAGGATAGTTATAATATTGTCTGCAATAACTTTTGAGAGTATCTTTTTCATTTTTCTTGTAGCTAACCTGTTATTGACAGATGCTTTAAATGTCTAAAATAGAGTAGCAGATTTATTTTGGTACACATTGCCTATGTTATAAGCCATAAATACTAAGAAGGTATTCTTTAGAGTTATATTTCACCATTAAAAGATTAAGGAAAAATTATCTGTTATCTCGTTTAAATAGTGAATGCTTTATTTGCAAACAAGTTTATTTATTTGAATTATTCAATTTATGAAATCAATTTGCAATGCACAAATTTTTTAAATAGGTTAAGAATATTATCAAACGTGTCCTACAAGTTTTCTTTTGTTAACCTCTTAATCTATACCACTGGTTTAAATCATAATTCACGGGACCTACAGTATGATAGGTACACAATGCATTGGCAAAACCCATATAAGAGCTTATCCTTAACTATCTGTTTAGCACAAGAAATTTGTACTGATCATCAAGAAAACGTATATGTAGAGCTTTAATAATTTTTATACCTATAGGTATTTTTAATTTAAAAATGGTAAACATGACTGTTTTCTTACTTACGGTTTTATTTTACCTAACATTTAAGAATAGTTGTGAGATATTAAGAAGCATGAAAATTTTCTATATCTTGAAGGATCAGTGTCCAATAATTCAGATTGTTTTGCAATTCTGCCTGGCAGAATGGTGTTTGAACTTCTTTTTCCTTTTTCAGCTTGTAACATAATCTGTGCAATGCATTAATGTTTGCATCCCTTTTACTATGTTTCCTTAAGATAATCTTTAAAATAGCATAGAAACCTAATTGCTGTGAGATGCAGTTTAAGCTTTTTTTAAATTTTTATTTTCCCTTTTTTAATCATAAAAAACTCTACCACTAAAACTGATTGTACTGCATGGGTTTTTATAAATTTGCATCATCAGTAATCAGATATATTATAGATGTAAATATAAAGTGAAAGAGGAGAGTGAAAAAGTTGGCTTAAAGCTCAACATTCAGAAAACTAAGATCATGGCATTTGGTCCTATCACTTCATGGGAAATAGACGGGGAAACAGTGGAAACAGTGTCAGACTTTATTTTGGGGGGCTCCAAAATCACTGAAGATGGTGATTGCAGCCATGACATTAAAAGATGCTTACTCCTTAGAAGGAAAGTTATGACCAACCTAGACAGCATATTAAAAAGCAGAGACATTACTTTGCCAACAAAGGTCCGTCTGGTCAAGGCTATGGTTTTTCCAGTGTTCATGTCTGGATGTGAGAGTTGGACTGTAAAGAGAGCTGAGCGCTGAAAAATTGATGCTTTTGAACTGTGGTGTTGGAGAAGACTCTTGAGAGCCCCTTGGACTGCAAGGAGATCCAGCCAGTCCATCCTAAAGGAGATCAGTCCTGGGTGTTCATTGGAAGGACTGATGCTGAAGCTGAAACTCCAGTACTTTGGTTACCTCGTGCGAAGAGTTGACTCATTGGAAAAGACCCTCATGCTGGGTGGGATTGGGGGCAGGAGAAGAAGGGGACGACAGAGGATGAGATGGCTGGATGGCATCACCAACTTGATGGACATGAGTTTGAGTAAACTCCGGAAGTTGGTAATGGACAGGGAGGTCTGGCGTGCTGCGATTCATGGGGTCGCAAAGAGTCGGACATGACTGAGTGACTGAACTGAACTGAACTTATATATGTAAGCATATATTTATATATATACTTGTATATTTTATTTGTGGTATGATGTTTACTTTTATGGCTGATTTTAAGTTTTTTATATTTAAAAATATTTTTATACTTATAATTTCATGAAGATTTGATCACTTATCTTTGTTTTCTTAATTATTTGTATCATATTTTGTTTTACCAGAAAATTTACCACTTTTAGGGTACCAGAGTTGTATTCCCTCAAAATTAAATTGGTAAATAATGAGGTTTATCTTGCCTTTCTTTGAAACTAATCCCGGGCATAGAAGCACAGAACTTTTATTTGATTTTATCCTTTGATGTTGGATTTACCCTAGTTCCATAAATTTATATTTTTTAAAAGGTCTTATGATTTAAGGATTAATATTTTTGTTTCTTCTTATTTCTCAAGTTTTTTGTATTCTTTTATCAGTATAAGCCTTTTTATCAGTATGTGAATACAATTAAATTGTCCATTTGTATGATTGATCATAGCAATATCCTAGATAATTTAAAAAATAAAACATTAAAAACAGAGTGTAAGGTTTCATTAAATAGTGCATATTCATGGTTTAACATCTTTTGAATATGAAAAGTTGTACAATAAGAGCTTTTCTTCCCCTGTCCCTGAGCTATCATTTCACATGCAGTAAATTTTAGTAAATCCTTTGCCCATTTTTTAAGTGGATTGTTTGTCTTTGAATTGTAAGAGTTCTTACAATTCTGGATATTAAACTCTGACCTCATATCTGATTTGCAAATATTTTCTTCCATCCTGTAGTTGATGTTGTCCTTAAATGGAGAGATGTTTTTCATTTCTGTGAAATCTGATTTCTCTATTTTTTTCTTTTGTTGCTTATGTTTTTGGTATCCATCTAAGAATCCATTGCCAAAGCTGAAGTCAGAAAGATTTACCCCTATGTTTTCTTCTAATAGTTCTATACCTTTAGCTCTTATATTTAGGTGATTGATCCATGTTTTTGTTTTGTTTTTTGTTAATATATGGAGTGAGGCAGGAGTTCAGAACTGTATTCTTTTCATGTAGTTACCCAGGTGTCCCAGCACCACTTGTTGAAGAGACAATTGTTTCTTTATTGAATGGTCATGGCACCTTTGTTAAAAATCAGTTTGATGTAGCTGTTTGGATTCATTTGTATACTTTCAATTCTGTACCATGGGTCTTCATGTTTATTTTCTTTATGCCTGTTCCACTCTATTTTGGTTACTGTAGCTTTACAGTAAGTTTGGAAATTAGGAAGTATGAGTCTTCCAGATTTGTTCTCTTTTTCAGTATCATTTAGCCATTTAGGGCCCCTTTTGGTTCCACATAATGGGATGCTCAGTTTTGGTCTCTGCCATAAAAGTCATTTGAATTTTGATAGGAATTGCACTGAATCTGTGGATTCCTTTGAGGAATATTGACATTTAAACAGCATTAACTCTTGTATTTTATGAACAGGAAATTCTTTATAGTATTTGAACACAGAATGTGTTAAGAATTGTTCCTCCTTTTCTGTTTTTCAAAGAGTTGAGTAGGATCAATATTAATAATTCTTTAAATGTGTTTTAGAATTCACAAGCAAAGTCATTTGATCCTAGAGGTTTTTAAAATTATTGATTCAATCTATTTGCCTGTGATAGGTCTGTTTTGATTTTCTGTTTCTTGTGTCGGTTTTGGTCATTTATGTGATTCTAGGAATTAGTTCATTTATTATCTAACTTGTTGGTGGACCATTGTTTATGGTATTCACTTATAATCCTTTTAATTTTTTTTAAGTTTGTTACTAATGTCCTCTTCTCTATTTCTGATTTTAGTTGTTTGCATCTTCTCTATTTTTCTCTTAGTCAGTCAAGGTAAAAGATGGTCAATTGTATTGATCCTTTCAAAGAGCCAACTCCTGATGTTGTTGATTCTGGTTTTTTTTTGGTCCTACATTTCACTTACCTCTGCTGTAATCTTTATTATTTTCTTCTTTCTGCTGGCCTTTAGTTTAGTTTCCTTTTTGTGGCAAGGTTGTTGAACTGGAATCTCTTTTTTTTTTTTTTTAATGTAGGTAATTATGGCTATAAATTTCCCTCTGTGTTCTGCTTATGCTGCATCTCTCATGTTTTGGTATGTTCTGTTTTTCATTTATCTCAAAGTATTTTAATTTCCTTAGTGACTTTGACCCATTGGTTGTTTTAGAGTGTGTTGTGTAAAATGTATATCATTAAAGCTATAAAAAGAAAAAAGATAAAGGAGAGCACCGATTCCCTAAAAGCCTTAAAAATTAGCTAGTAACTCTAAAGACTTGTTCATCTTCTAAGAAACCAGACTTTACTCTTTTACATTACCATTTGTGGTTGCTCTGTGGTAAATTTTTAACTTAAGAGTAATAATATAATTTATAATTGTGTGAGAGAAATGTAGTAGTACAAGTATAGTAAAGTAAATAGTGAGTTGCGTAAGCTTGGTCCACCTTCTTTACCCATGTTGTTTGTGTGTGTGTGTCTTGTAATTTTCAGAGCAAATCACATGCTCTTTAGCAGTATCAGAGTTTAAAAGTCACTAAAGTATTTCAGTTAGGCTTCCTGAAGGCTGAGACCTGGGAATTATAGATAATAATTCTAAGAATAGGTATTTTAGCAGCCTTTGAAGTATAAAACCTTTCCAGAGGTGAGTAATCTTGTCTTTTCCTTGTATAAGTCTTTGTAATGTTTTTTTTCTTTGTATGTTACTACCAACATCATGACAAATTTCAACTGAAAATCCAAATCAAAGGGTGTATACTTAACAGTATTTGACTTTAAATTGTAATTCATTATTGCTTAATTCCTAG